GGTGTGCAGGACATCCAACCCAATAGTTGAAAGAGCAGTGTTGGGCTGGCCACTATGCTAATCTCTTCAGTGATAGTATCCCAACAGTCCTATGAGAGGAGCATTAATATGACTTTCCTTTCCCAGATCAGAAAACTGAGGCATAGCAAGATTAAGTAACTTGTCCAGTGTCACACAGGTAGTACATGATAAAACCAAATATTTCAGCCCATGTTTGTCTGAATCCAGAGCCTATGCTTAGATTACACATCAAAGGAATTAATTTTCAATTCAATAAAATACACTGAGTGCAAAAAAGAGTTTATAAAGAGTAGTGCTGGTATTATTGAGAAATTATCGAGGCTTCGAATCTGGCTCTGCCATTGACTGGCTGTGACACCCTGGGCAAAGTATCCCCCACCTCTGGGGCTTGGTGTTTTCATCTGTAAAACAAGGTGGGGCTTTTTTGTCTTTTTATTTTTTCTGATGGAGCCTCACTCACTCTGTCGCCCAGGCTGGAGGGCAGTGGCGTGATCTCGGTTTACTGCAACCTCCGCCCTCTGGGTTCCAGTGATTCTCCTGCCTCAGCCTCCCAAGTAGCTGGGATTACAGGCACCCACCACCACACCTGGCTAATTTTTGTATTTTCAGTAGAGATGGGCTTTCACCATGTTGGCCAGGCTGGTCTCAAACTCCTGACCTCAAGTAATCCTCCTGCCTCAGTTTCCCAAACTGCTGGGATTACAGGCATGAGCCACTCCACCCGGCCAAGGTTGTCGTTTCTTAAAGTTGGTTGATATTTATGCAGAGCTCTCTGTGTCCCAGGCACTGAGGCACAAGTTCTATAAGGCTCTCATTTGATTTTCCAGGAGTCTTGGGCCTTGGAAACCTCTCAAAATGCGTGAAGAGAGAACACCCGAAGCAGCGTCTGTCTTGACCCATGGCCTCCCTCTCCTCACTGAGTCAACACAGCAGCCCCTCCATTATCCTTTCTCCCTGCCAGCCAAGCAATTGAGGAAAGAAGCCTCCATGCCAAGATTGATGCTGTCTAGCCGGAGAAAAGGCATTTGAGAAATTACTTGGTAGTTTTCTTTCTTCTGCCTCTGGAGATCTATTTCTGGACCTGGTGGAGACAGTGTGATTGTAAAATCTGAAAAGACCAAGAAAGTATGTGGCCTGGCCTGAAGCCAGAAGGAAGCTACACTAAATGATGAATTGAAAATAATGTCTGAGGTCTAGAGCCCAGAAGGAACTAGCGATGGGAATCGTGTTACCTCTTCACCTGCAGCTTCAAAGGCAGGACTCACTTTTAAGAGCTTACCCATGCAGGATGGTTAGGGTCAAGTGTTCAAGAAGATGCAGGATGGCTTTAAATGAGCTCTGAAAACCCCCTCCAGCCCAGCCCTATGAGATGATGAGAATGTTTTTCAGTAGAAAGAGAGTCACAAATTAGCATCAGTTTCACATTAAGCAAATAGCTCCTGGTGGAAATTTGATCAGGGAAGGTATAAGATATTAAGTCAACTGATGAGTTGCTGTATATAAAGCTCTGTTGCTGAATCTTTTAATCTGGTTTCTACAGTGGTAGTCGGTGCATGGAGCTCACTGGTCTTGGACCCAGTAAACCCAGTTTGATCCTGGCTCTACCTATGTAGCTAATTTCAGCCTCTTCATTTGTAAAATGCTAATAACAATCTCTTGTCCTATAACGTTGCTGTGAGAATCAAAGTTCCATATATTGAAAGTGTTTTGGAAACTGTCAAATAGTAGTCAGATAATATAAGGTATTATATTTTAGAAAAACAATTCATTTGTCAAAAATGATGAGGCAATGATAACTCAAATGATAGGCCAAAGTTAGAACCTATTGGCATTTTAGGAGAGCTTCATAATTCAAATGATCCTTCATAATTGTATGCATAGATAGAGACACAAGAAGGAGATGGGAGAGTCAAATGGTTGTTATATGGTCGAATTGTGTTTTTTTCTCAGAAATGAAGAAGTAGCCTGGGCGTGGTGGCTCATGCCTATAATCCCAGCACTTTGGGAGGTGGAGGTGGATTGATCACCCGAGGTCAGAAGTTTAAGACCTGTGTGGCCAACATGGTGAAACCCTGCCTCTACTAAAAACACAAAAATTAGCCAGGCATGGCGGCACATGCCTGTAGTCCCAGCTACTCTACTCCAGAGGCTGAGGCAGGAGGAATCGCTTGAACCTCAGAGATGGAGGTTGCAGTGAGGCGAGATTGCACCAGTGCACTCCAGAGATCATGCCACAGCACTCCAGCCTGGACGACAGGGCTGAACTCTGACAAGCAAAAAAAAAAAAAAAAAAGGAAAAAAAGAAAGCAATTTTTATTTTTAGATGCTCAGACCACATGGCCAGATCTTTCTGGGCAAGTCTCAGTCAATGTATGTAAAGCATGAGGCTGAGAAGCTCATGCCCAAACCAGAGACGCCTGGCAGCGAGTACAGAGTGACTTGCTGCTAGACCAAACTCATTTTAACTTGTGGACACAGCTTGGAAGCCAAAAGAAAAAGATGCCCAATAAAAGATCATCTGGACTTTTTGAGGCTGAGAATGCAGTAACATGTAACTATTTAGGGGTCCAAACCCATTTCAGGAAAATAGTAATTGAGTAGAAAAGTAGATCATGTTTTTCTACCCTTGGAGAAGCTGAGAAATGAAAGTTATCTCCTGGTGAGGCACTAGGTAGGGTGGGCTGAATAACAGATACTCTCTGCCACAAAATCATATCCTCATCTTCAACACTGTGAATATGTTACTTTACATGGTAAAAGGGACTTGGCAAATGTGATTAGATTAAGGATCTTGAGATGGGGGATTATCCTGGATTATCTGAGTAGATCCAAAAGAGGGAGGCAGGAGAGCCACAGATGGAAAGAGATGTGGTGGTGAAAGAAGAGGTCAGAGAGAGAGAGAGAGAGAGAGAGAGAGAGAGAGACACATCTAAAGATGTTATGCTGCTGGTTCTGAAGATGAACCAAAAAATGTAGGTGCCTCTAGAAACTGTAAACGGCAAGGACATGGATTCTCCCAGAGAGCCTCCGGGAAGTATGCGGCCCTGCTTTTCCCGTTTTAGATTTCTGACACCCAGAACTATAAGGTAATAAATTCATATTGTTGTAAGCCACAAAGTTTGTAATCATTTGTTCCAGCAGCAATAGAAAGGTAAGATGCTAAGTAACTTTAGGCTGTGGTCTTTGCTCAATGTGACCCCTATACGTTGAAGAAGGACATATAACAAAATAATAAAACCCCAAAACATGACTGAAAACAAGATGCTTTGATAATTTGTTAACATGGAATTGCTAGTTTCCTTTAATTTCATGGCCACTGTTGTGGTAATGAACTGTATCCACAGGTTTCCGATCTGTTTCCTTGTCATGGACACATACAGGCACACACAGAGACGGACACACACACCTCACTTAAAATAAGACAGAAAAATTTCATGGTGGATCTGCATCTGAGACCCACCACGGTTCCCTACGCCTCCTGAGTGACATTTCCTTTCAGGAGTCTTCCTCTAGCCCCTTCCTCCCTCCCTGTTCCCTGGCCATCAGAGGGCTTCCTGATCGTCTCTGAGGCAGCCGTATTCCAGAACCCAGGCTACTGTGAGGCAGAGATCATGAAGGAACAGTCTGATGTTTTTGTTTTTGTTTTTTTGAGAACGGAGTGTCGCTCTGTTGCCCAGGCTGGAGTGCAGTGACGCGATCTCCTCTCACTGCAACCTCCGCCTCCCAGGTCCAAGCGATTCTCCTGCCTCAGCCTCTTGAGTAGCTGGGATTACAGGCGCCCGCCACCTTGCCTGGCTATTTTTTTGTATTTTTAGTGGAGATGAGGTTTCACCATGTTGGTCAGGCTGGTCTCTAATTCTTGACCTCAAATGATCCACCTGCCTCGGCCTCCCAAAGTGCTGGGATTACAGGCATGAGTCACCATGCCTGGCCCGGTGCTATTTCTTTATGGTAACAAAACCTCTGGTCAAGTCAGCTAAAGATGGATGTTAAATCGTTCAGGCTGGGTATGATGGTGGTTCACGCCTGTAATCTCAGCATTTTGGGAGGCTGGGGTGGGAGGATCACTTGAGGCCAGGAGTTTGAGACCACCCTAGCCAACACTGCAAGACCGTGTCTCTGTAAAAGACAGAAAAATTAGTCAGCCATGGTGATACACATCTGGAGTCCCAGCTATCCAGGAGACTGATGTGGGAGGATTGCTTGAACCTGGGAAGTTGAGGCTGCAGTGAGCTGTGATTGTACCACTGCACTAGAGTCTGGGTGACATAGCGAGACTGTCTCAAAAAAAAAAAAAAAAAAAGGCTCAAGGCACCATGAGGGCAGAATATCTATCAGATCAGTGGGCTGAGTTTTTAAACAGAAAACTATGTCAAAGGCTACTCTGGAGTTTTGCTTACATGGCCCTAGCGTCAATGGTCCAAATGAGCTCACAGTCACTCTGCCTTCCCTCCTCCTCCCCTTCCCTTAACATGCAACTTGATTCCACAGAAGAGAAGGATAGGAACTAGAGCTAAAAACATTTTCCTTTATCTTTTTTTCTTTTTCTTTCTTTTCTTTTCTTTTCTTTTCTTTTTTTTTTAGACAGGGTCTTGCTCTTTCATCCAGGCTGGAGTGCAGTGGTGCAATCACGGCTCACTGCAGTCTCAACCCCCCGAACTCAAGTAACTCTCCTACCTCAGCATCTGGGGATCATAGGTTTGTGCTACCATACCTGGCTAATTTTTTTTTTTTTAATTGTCTGTGAAGACGGGATCTCACTGTATTGCCCAGGCTGTTCCTTTATCTTTGAAGGTTTTCCTGAATTTCAAAGAGTCAAGGAGGACACCCCATAGTACCACTCAGTTTTCTCCCCGATTCTCTCCCAAGGTGTCTTCCAAAAAGAGGGCTTCTGGGGATAATGCATTTCCAGCCACCATTCCTTCAACTAGGGCTTTATGGAACATGACCTTAAACTTGGAAGGAACAGAAACACATACATGCTCAGACGTGAAGGCAATGAGCCTGGGAACAGCAGCCATTCCTTTCTCCTTGACTTCCGGGAACATCTTAAAGCGCGCGATCATCATGGCATACATGTTAGATATGGCGCCACCTAAAGGGCACAGCAACACACAGTTACTTTATTTATTATCAACCTCGTTTCACATGCAAGCAACATTCCTTATATCCATTGACCTGAGTCCTCCTTGGACTCAGAAGAAAACCCTATTGACTATCTTTAAACTGAATCCTCAGACTCAAAGGCACTACCCCAGAGGGTACATTGGGACAGGACAGGTGCCACTGCCACACCCCCTCTCAGTCACTAACTGGAACTGCGGTGGATTCTACTCTTGTTGTAAGCCCTTTGAAGAGGGTTTTTAATTCAAAAGCAAAAGGTTTGCCTCCATCCCAGCTTGTGAACGTGGTCATTCTGCATGAGTTCTGTAAAATCCTGCTTATATCCGAATGGAGAAACCTTTTTTTTTTCATTTCAACTCATTCAGTGCCTTGCACTTGGATTAAGATAAATCAGTTGTTACTGGTGTAAACTGTTAACATTTTTTTTTTCTTCTTGAGACAGGGTCTCACTCTGTCGCCTAGGCTGGAGTGCAGTGGCACGATCTCCACTTACTGCCACCTCCATCTCCTGGGTTCAAGAGATTCTCCTGCCTCAGGCTCCCAAGAGGCTGGGACCACAGGCATGCGCCATCACGCCCGGCTAATTTTTTGTGTATTTTTAGTAGAGACGGGTTTTCACCACGTTGGCCAGGCTGGTCTCAAACTCCTGACCTCAAATGATCCACTCGCCTCGGCCTCCCAAAGTGCTGGGATTACAAGTGACAGCTACCATGCCTGGCCTCATCAACAATTTTTAGTGAGCAGTAGTCCCCAACCTTTTTGGCAGCAGTGACGCCTTTCGTGGAAGACAATTTTTCCACCTATGGAGGGTCGGGGGCGGGTGGGGGTGGGGTGGAGAATGGTTTTGGGATGAAACTGTTCCACCTCAGAGCATTGGGCATTAATTAGGTTCTCGTAAGGAGCAGGCAACCTAGATCCCTCGCATGCGCAGTTCACAATAGGGTTCATGCTCCTATGAGAATCTCATGCGGCCGCTGATGTGACAGAAGGCGGAGCTCAGGCGGTAATGCTGGCTCGCCCCTTGCTTACCTCCTGCTCTGTGGCCCGGTTCCTAATAGTCCACAGACCTGTACCGATCCACCATCAAGGGGTTGGGGACCCCTGTCATAAAGGATATATCTCCAATTCTATCTTATCATACTCATCTGTTCATTCCCTCTAAACTAGTTCTTTCCTCTCAAAGACATCATTGAAATAGAATTGTATTAGCTAACAAAACTCATTTCATAATTATAGAAAAACTTACAACTAAGAGAATTTTCAGTCCATATTGTGTTACTTTTTCTGTGTCATCCAAAGGTTGTCAGGGATTCCACACCATAAGATTTGTGTCTTATAAAGTAGAGTCTCACTTGACAAGCAAAGAAAACCCAGGGCTGTTGGGAAGTTTAGGATGTTTGCAATTCAGGAAAGACAGATTGTTATGAATGCAAATTAATATGCTGGCATGGAAGACGTGAGGCCATGGGGCAGAGTGAAGGTACTGCCTCTCCTTCCTGCCCAAGGGGAACACCCCAAGCCCTGCTGACACGAGAGTGTTGTGAGTTACTCTGCTTCCTGGTGGCTGAGGAGCAGGAGGGCTCCATGTCAAGCTGAATGGCCCAGGCAGGGGTATGACCTTTGCCTCTTGAGCCCTGAGCTCTGACTCAAGCAGGCCGCCTGGCACACAGCACTCATCACCCAGATCCATGCCTCTGTCCTCAGCCAAAATAAGGGCGATTCCTTCCTTTCTGGACTCCAGAGATGCAGGAGAAGCAGAATCCAGGTCACGCCTGCTCTGAGCAGACACCAGCCTGAAAGGCAGACTGTAGGATGCTGGAAGTGGGGTCTGCTTCGAAAGGAAATTCCATCCTAGCTCATGGTTTTGGCACTTACTGACATTTTGGGCAACGTAATTGTGGTGAGGGCTGACGTGGGCATTATAAAGCGTTGAGCAGCATTCCTGGTTTCTACCCACCAGATGCCTGTAGCACCCCCTCCCCCAGACAATCAAAAGTATCTATAGATATTGCCAAATGTCCCTTGGGGAGAGCAAAATGACCTTGTTTGAGAATTTAGTTTTTCTTAAAGAAGCTGGAGAAGGAAGGAGGGGAGAAGAGAAAGGGGAAGACGTATCCAAAGAAAGTGCTCTTCACATGCATTTCTTCTGAGGCTTCCAGCCCTGCCCTCCCACACGTCACTCTGCAGCTCAGCTGTCCTCTGGCTAAAGGCTTAGCAGCCGAGTGAGAGAAAGAGGCTTCTGGGCCTCTGGGCAGAGAAGACCGTTTTAGAGGCATGAGGACAAATGCGTGAGCCCTACCTGCTCTTATTTCCTATGAATCCTCTAAGAAAGGATGTAAAAGCAAGTGCTACTTTGGGTGACTGAGGTGGGCAGATCACCTGAGGTCAGGAATTCAAGACCAGCCTGGCCAACATGGTGAAACCCCATCTCTACTAAACATACAAAAATTGGCTGGGCGTGGTGGTGCATACCTGTAATCCCAACTACTCTAGAGGCTAAGGCACAAGAATTGCTTGAACCCGGGAGGTGGAGGTTGCAGTGAGCTGAGATCGTGCCACTGCCCTCCAGCCTGGGCAACAGTGATTCTCTGTGTCAAAAAAATAAAAAATAAAATACATGAATAAAAGCAAGAGGTGAAACATTATGAAAACCCTGTTAGCTAGGAAAAGGTCTGTGACTAAGCCAAGCTTTCTTTCCTAGCCACTCCTTAGTGTTTGTGCTTTGTGACCTGCTGAGCAGTAAGGAGTGCTGCATGTTTCTCTGGTTCCCAGTGTAGGTGATATCACAAAAGCAGATTTCTTCTAGGAGTCCTAAAGGACTTTGCACGAAGCATGAAGCCTTTGGGCATTATCGATGGAGGTATGAGGCAGTATGTTTTAAGTCACCGACCTAACTCTTCACATTGAGTCCCAGGGAATGAGACTTTTAGATCCCAGACACATAAGATGTGTGGCTTTCTCTATCCCCACCCCTTAAATTGTAAGACCGTTTACTGCAGGAGCGAGGCTGGATGCTCCCGGGAATAGCATCCATGGCCAGTAAGGTGGTGATGAGCCATTTCTCCTCTGTGATGTCTTGTAGAAAGCAGAGCAGAAACAGGTTGCAATGACCTTTTCTGCTGTCTCTTCCCAACTTTGCAATGTCTGCATTGCCCTGTAGTGTGACATCTATGGCTTGCGTCTTGGGGTAAGAGTAAATGGGTCTTTAGGCTCCAAGGAAGCCTATAATTCCCATGCTCAAGCTGAAGTCGTCTCCTCGTGAAAATCCCCCATCATCAGTGAGGGTGGAGGGTAAGCTCTGAGCCTAGCAGAACTGCCGAAGAGAATTCTTTCTCTGGGTGTATGTTTTCTGGGGCATGTAGGTTTTTCAGACCAGCCAGGTAAATTAGGCCCAGCTCTTAGTCAAATTAGTCAAATTTTCAGGGTCAACAGGTACAGTTGTTCTCTCCCTCCTCCTGGGGACCATTAAAACTTATGGCACAGGAATAAATTCAGCATAAAATAAATGCAAATAAAAGAAAAAATAGAGCCCAGCACATTCTTGGTTCATCTCAGGGACAGATCAATCCTATACCCACCACACAAGGGTAGGAAGAAGAAAGGTGGAAATGACGTGGATCTCTGTACCCCACCTCATTCCTCATGAAAAATGTTTTCAAAGCATCAGGCAATGATGACAAAGCTCCTCCCTCAAGAGGCATAGTTTTCCAGAGGAAAACTAAGTACTAAGTGCCCTACAAAATAAAGGCTAGCTTAAAATTCATCACAGCTGGTGTTCAATGACTTTTTAAAAGGCGAATTTTCCCTCCCATTTAACTAACACCTTTTCCTTCAGCACCTGAAAAATTGTGCTATATATTTAAACACATGAAATAAAATAGCTGATCAGAGCTTGCAGGCAAACATACTTAAGCCCTGGTCTTGGGGTCACTCTTGCTTACTTATTTTTTCTTTCCACTTTTTCTTTTCTCCCCCACCCCCGCCTCATCATCTGCGTGTCTCTGTAGATTTGCTGAAGAGAGATCACAACCACTTGGCCTTTGCTCTGTCTGACACAACGACAGGTGTTGCTCTGGCCTCTCTCTCAGGTGGGTCCTTTCTCAGCGGACTAATCAATCCCGCTCCTGCCACTGATTGGCTGATGGTCTGCACATCAGGTTTCTTTTCCACGGGTCAGTGACTTTCTTTCCATTGCCTTCCTAACTTCTATTTCTTTTCTTCATCAAACCAAGGTCTCACACAGAACCGTAAACCAAGGACACAGCTTTTTGTTTCAGGTTGATTCTCTTGGCTGGAAGAGGTGTAAATAATGGAGCTTAGAATGCAATGGCTGGTGATAAAAGGCAGGATGGAAAAGACTGAATGGCATGATAAAGAAGAGAAGGGATGAGAAAGCTCTTGAAGAAATCATCACCCTCTTTTTTTGCTCTAAGAAATTCTCTCCCAAGGCCTGCTCTGTCCTCCTTGAAATTAGTGTAAATCCGCTTTGCTGCTTGTTATTTCAAAGACAGAGTGGTCCATATGCTCTATGGAGTAGATCTACCTTGCTATGCACCCTTGAACAGCAAATGCTTTATTAAATGAGGCTACCCATTTCCTTTCACTAATTCTGGGAAGAGCGTCAGAGAGTGAATTTCCTAATTAGGAATCTTGATTCCTTTGTTCCACATTATCCGTACATCCTGCTTGTAGGATCACAGTAGAAGCACTGGGTAAGTACCATCTCTGATTATGCTCGCTTTGCACACAAATAACTGCTGTTCAAGCGTGGGTTACTTAGCTTGGAGGCATGTTCAATGGTCATGTGCACTTAATCACATTCATTCTTTTGATCAACACACAGTCTATTTAACCTAAGCAGAGACACAGGCTAGATACTTAATCTTCCCTAGGTTTACAACAAGGCATTGCATATTAGAAGAAAAGACACAAAGAAAGTTGAAATATCACGTACCGGGAGAAAATATCCCATCGCCGGAGCCCCCTGGCCAGCCAATGATTTCTCTCATTTTCTTTAGTGTGACATATTCCAAAAGCACAAATACTGGAGCAATTTCATAGGTGAACCTGAAATGTAGTAATGGCCACATTTTACCTCTGTAACTCAAATACATAATTTACAACCATTACAATAGCTACATAACTATTTCCTTTTTCAAACATACATTTACAAGTGTCATGATTATAACATTAAGCAGAGAGAAAATTATTTCAAAAAGGCCTTCCAAAAGGTTTATTTTTTCTATATCCCTACAGTCAAGAGCTCCAATTACTAACATAACGCACAAGAGATATTTATTGTATTGAATAAAAAAAAATATTGCAGAGTAACATGATTTAAAATATAGTATCTGGTCCCATTTGTCTTTGACATTATGCACAAAAATAAATCAAACATGTCAGAAAAAAGTCTCTTTGGTGTTTTAAAAATTTTGTTGAGTTTGATTACATGAAAGATATATCAGAACTACTTTCTGTTACATTAAAGTGAACACTCACACTTCAGAAGTTTGTATCACTATTTTAGCGGCTATTTAATAAAAACAGATTTTCACATAAGATGTAAAGACTATGGAATATCACTAATAATTATCCTAAATTACATAAAAGCACATTTGGCTACTTACATGTTAGTATTTGCTGTCGATGTCAGCCAGTCTGCTGCTAATCCAACCATATCCAATCCAGTGGAAAGTTGATTGAAGTATCTAGGATGCCCTGAATAAAATAGAATACCAGAATCAGGATTGCCTCCAATGAAAATAAATTCCTCTCAAACACATGATTTCTCTAGCTAAAGGACCTTGAAAGATCTGTCAGTAACAGGAAATCTGTAAGTAGAAATCCAACATGTACACACGTGTGTATGCGCAAGAACACACACACACACACACATGCACATACACACACACACCATAAAAGCATTTCCTCTAACCACGAAGACTACTTTAGCTTTTGATATTTCTTAAAACATACCCTATAAATCTTCCTTTAATCATACCCTATAAAAAATAACAAATGTGGTTTGCAATTTGCACACGAGTTTCTTTTCTATTTTCAATATTTTTGCAAGCTAAAATGCTACTGCAACCCACAGCTATTCAGACAGGTTACTTCTCGTTTACACTTATGCTGCTAGAAGTTCTTTTTCTGTTGCAGTCGTTCTGAGAATCAGTCATACCATGACATCCGCCAGGCATGCCAACATTCATAATAATATCAGTGACAAATGGCTAATGATTACAAAAGACAGGGCAAAAATGAGAAAATAGGACACTTCGCTGAGTGATTTGCCCTGAATTCAAAAGGTGATGATTGTCTAAAGATGGCATGGACAGACAGAGCTAATTCTTGTCAATTCTTCTTTGTTAATTATAAACAACAGAGCTCCTTCATAGTTGTGCTTTAAAATAAGGTCACATACAGTCAACATCACTGTTTTATCAACAAGATACATAAAGATATATTCAATGGACTGATTAGTCCATTGCAAGGCTTATCTAATTGACTTCTAGATCCCTCTAAAACTCTCTAAATGGACTGACATCCACATTCTCCTGAGGCTATTATTTAAAATGTGATTACAAATATGTCATTAGCATTTGGTTTTTTCCTCTTGCTCCACAAAAGCCTGTCATTGATAGGTCCGTGATTTGCACAGCAGCAAAAATTTTAGAAGATGGGCCATTATGGAAATAACATCTGATAAAAAGGTATCTTTCACATCCTGGACATCTGTCTAAAGCCTGGGATGTGATCGTCTCTCATCTCCTGCACAGGCGAAACAAGATAAAGGAAGGCAATGGGGAAGAGCAGGGACAAAAGCCAATGGCTAGCTTATCCTGCACTGGAGTGCTCTCTTATCAGCCTCAGGCATGTGGCCGGAGAGTTAGACACAGGGAAAAGATAGAAGCTGGGAAGGAGCACATTTTAGCAGGATCAGGACTTGTGCATCTACTGTGCATTCTCCAGCATTATTTTATGTCCTTGTGGCCTCATGGGGTACCTTCTACCTCTGACGCTGACCCCCTCAGTTTACCCATCCACGAAGGGTGAGAAGGCCTTTTTGCTGCTGTGGCTGCTGACGTCTGGAGCAACCCTTCACTCCTCTCTGCCTCACTGACTCCCCATTTCATTATGCTCGCAGCTGAAATCACAGCCGCTTCCTCCCTCCCGATGCTCCTTCATTCCTCCATTTCTCTTTCCCTAAGCCTTTTTTTTTCAAGTGAGGAAATTAATAAGAATTATCAACTGTATCCATTAATCTATTCTCCCAATTCATATGCATTTTCTGGATGAATGTGGTGTCTATGATTAGACAGTATTTAACTCTAGGGAAACTTGGGAATGAAACCTCTGCATAAGATGGAGAGAGATTGTGATGGGTGTGTTGTGCCTCTGGATATCAGAAGGCCAGTCCACCCTGATGATAACTTTCTGTAAATGGTGAAAACAAGTTTGATGCTTTCATTGCTAGGTTTCCCTTCCTCCCTCTATATTTTTTGACCTTGCTCTGCCATTTCACCTGAATCTCTCCTGCCTCAAAAATTTCATTCCCTGATCATGATGTGAAAATAGGGAGGGAGATGGTTTGACAGGTCAGATCAACAGGCCCTCTTGAGGTCTGGCAGAAATATTCCCCTAATGACATTTGCTCTCGTCCTGTGGCCCCTACAGGCTGCTTCCTAGGGCTGCCCAGCAAATCCAGGCAGGGCTCTCTCCAAGGAATTGTGAGACCTGCCCCCATCGGTCAGCTGTCCCTACAGCCTTTGGCTTCCTGCTGCTGTCGCCACCCTGCCAGGCCCTGTGATGGGAGCAGAGCACACTGCATCAGGCGTTGGGTGGCCACACACAGCCTGTGCGGCCAGGAAGATGGTGAGCTTGAGATGTGAGAACGGCTGCTTAGACTCAGGGATGCTCCCTGCAGACTAGCAAATGAGCCCGGAAGGATACGCAGACTCTGGGAACAACCAGCCTCAGGCAACTCTGACCCTGCTGCTCAAGATCAGTTGGGAAGAGGCCAAAAGTCGGTCCAAACTGCTCTTTGTGTCCTGGCAACATTCACACAAGGGCGGCCTCATCTACTGTCGCTTAATTCCCTTTGTCTGATGGTTTGGTAAAAGATTCAGGACCACATTTAAGTCCTACTCTTCCCCAGCCAGCACCACCACCACCAGCATCAAATCTAATGATCTCTGCAAATGAAAATTATTCTGGAATTCTATCATTCTCTGCTCAGTTTTCTGTGTTCCAACATTTCTTTTTACAGAGGTAATTTTAACAATCCATGAAGACTTCATTTTCCCACTGCCCTTCACTCCTCTCTAAGCTTGGAGCCCTAGTGGAAATCAGGTTAAGGTCTCTCAGTAGAAACAAGATGATAATATGCATTTTATAAAATCATCTCTGGAGGAGCATTAAAGTGTCTGGTAGTAGCAGGGATGGCAACTAATTTGAAATATCCTAAATAGTACTAGATGACAAGTATGACAGTTATAGCACAGAGATCTATAAAGTTGCCAGCTGAATAGAGAAAATGACTGCCGTTAATGTTTTGAAATGCTATCTGAAGGAAAAGGCCAGCAGACTAAATATGTTATGAAAACTACTGAGAGATTGAATTGATATGCCTTGCTTAGAAATCCAACTTAATCCATCACATTTTTATCTGAACTTTAAATAGAATACATTACAGTGATACCTAACAGTTTCACAAGCATTATGGCAAAATCTGAGTATTGAATTAGCCCATCTTTTCCTGGCCCTAAATGCAACACTGATAGACAGAACTATTACTTTCACTGACTTGCAGCTCCCATTATCTTAACTCTTTAGACTGCATTTCAGGCACCACTAGCTTTCAAGGATGAAGACACAAAACATTCCCAAAGGTTCTTTTGGTTTGGTAGCAATACAAACAATAGGTAGCAATTTACTATTAACATATCTAAATATAAGGTATGGGGAATGGGTCAAAAAAATGAATTAAAAGCATCACTCAGGATTGCACTATGAATGCAGGAAAAGCTGAGGAGGGGTAGGAAAATTTTTAATGCCTGGTATAAACATCACGTGGGTTCCTTATGAACGTTGAGGATGATGTCTAATACACCTTCAAAACTCCTATTCCATAGCCTGACTTTGATAGAAATCTATGTCCCAAGGCTTTTTGTATGCCTACCTTTCTTCTCTGTTGGTATAAATAATGTGAACAAAAAGAAAAAAAGAACTAAACTTCTCACAGCAAACATTTTAAGAATGTTTCTTATTGATTAGCATAATACTGCTAATTCATCCGCAAAAAATTTGCAATCTAAAAAGATGACGTTTCTATGGTGATGTTCATGTCATATTTCACATTTTTTATTTGCTAGCAAATCTCTTAAAGGCTACACATCAATTTAGATCCATAAAGTTCTCCCCGCCCCTGGAAATTCATTCATACTTATTTTTATTGCCTTAATGAAATGCCATGCCATCGTGTATCAGGATGATTAGAGACAATGTAAAAAGCGAGGTTAATCAAGACCTGGGCAGATGAATAGCTGACTTTGTGTAGATAACATGAAAGCTCGGAATGCACCCAAATAAATGTTATAAACGAAGCTGTAACATGGATGAAATATAAAGAATCCTGTGAAAAGCCAAGAGACCACAAAAGCACATTTAAAAAAATTTCCCCCTAAGGATATCTGATTTGCCCCTCCCCCCTTTTTCCTTTATCTCACATACACAGTGGCTGGGAGGAACACACATCCATATATAACATGGCTGAATTGCTAAGCTAGCCTGTATCATGTCTGCTTGTGTGTTGTGCACATCTCCTTAAAAATAAGTGAAAATCTGAATTCAAATCTGAAAGGCTGGCCTTTTGACACAATGTGAAAACATCCTTCCTGCTCAATGATTAATAGGGTGGTGAGTCCTGTTTCTGACCAGTTTTATGCCAAAGAAAATACCAGCACAGCACTGGTATTCGGGCTTTTGTTTGGATCATACATTTTTGGAGCTTTTATTTCCATATTCTCTTTCTCCATTTGAGTTCTTTCTGCTGGTTTCTGCTGATGAATGTTTGCTTCTACACCAGCGGTTAATCTCCGTGTCCAAATACATGCAACGTAAAATCTGATGATTTACACTTAAATCATGTTTCTGACATTATCAACTTCAGAAGCATGAGCAATAACAGTGGAAGGTGTTTTGGATTAGAATCATTCTAATAATGACTATTTTTTACGTGATGAAAATAACTTTGCGATTTTGAAAATATCAGTAACTCCATCAAACAAAACATTTTATAGAAAAAAATAAAATAAAAATTCTAAAAGAAAAAAGAGCTTTATTATTTTCGATGAGACAATACCTGTTTTAATTGCATATTTTAGAGTTGTTTGGCAATGCATCAAAATATCCTCCAAATTTTGTGGTTGGTCTGCCAATTCCCAATTATATTCTTGGAGAAGCTCATTAGGATAATGGAAATCAATCACTTTGGTTGATCTATCGAAACTTTTCACCACATACTGAAGTAAAATGTTCATAACATCTTGCAGAAACGCCAAAGTGGGCCTTTCTCCATCACACGCCGGCAGCAGGTCTAAAGAATAGAATTAAAATGCCACATTTTAATTTTACTGTGAAAATATTCAAGGCAAGATCTTGATGAGGCAATAACATTTCTTTGAATTGAGAGATTTCATGTTAAATAAAGCTTTTGGAAACGCAGAACATTTTTCTTTAAAAGGGAGACATTTTTCAAAGGTGAAGGGAATGAATGAGAGAAATTACGACTTCTCCTCTTCCCCAAATGACTGCATTTCAATTCATAACTTATATTGTTTACTTTCTTTTTTTGAAGAGCGTGTGTCTGCGTTTATCTGCTTCACAGGAGTTCGTCCTAAAGGTTGTTTCTCAGTAAGCCATCTTACGTGTTTACGGAAATATTTCACGTCAGAAGTGTTTGTCTGAATGCCTTCAGGCAAACCAAAGTGGAACAGGAGCCCTAGTATCTCTGGTCGGCTAGGAAGGCCCGCTGTTTCTAAAGTCAGTGTGTGTGTGTGTGTGTGTGTGTGTGTGTGTGTGTGTGTGTGTGTGAAAGAGAAAGCATGTGCGTATGTGTGTCTGCATGTGTGTGCGCGGGCATACACTTGGGAGACGGTGTGTAAGCGCACGGGGGTAAAACTTGGCGCGCGGGTTTCATGTGAATGGAATCGTTATCTTGTGCGATTGCAGCTACAAATCACTCTCGTGATCTAAAGACCTAAAAAAATTATGCAATTCTGCATTCTCGGGCACATTTGGAAACCGAGTCCCACCAGAGGCCCCAGCGGCCTAGGGAAGCCAGCCGTCATCGATTCAGTGCGCGCACGAGCGCCTGGGCCATCGGCCACCCGCCACCCCAAGGGCCGCGCTGGGGGAAGAGCGCCACGGCCTCAGAGCCCTCTTGGAGCTCAGAGGCCAGGTTCGGGGGCTTGGACCCAGCGGGCAGGTCCCGCATTTCTCGCTTTCATCTAAAGATTCTGGCAGGTCCAGCCTCCGCCGCCACCTCGACGCCCCTGTCGGGTTCTCAGCGCCGGGTCCCCACCGGCCGAGGTGGGCGGGGCAGGGAGAGGGGCAGGGGCGCCCCCGGGCTCCGCGAGAGCCTTTACCTGTTGCATGGAGAAACCCGTAGTTGACATCCGCTTTGGGACAGCTGCAGGGCTTCTGGTCGCAGGCGCAGGCGGCCTTCCGGGCGGCGACCCGCGGGGGTTGGCTCCCGCCGCTCTCCGCCGGCTTCTCGGCGTCTCCGTAGAGCAGGGCTGGGTAAGGACACCGAGCGCGGGCCTCGTCTATCCACCGCCGGGCCCGGCTCCCTCGCTCCCGCCCACCCGCAGCCAGGAAACCCCGACTCCGCTGACCCGGATGCGGAGGTGAGAAGACGGCTTGGACCCCGCGGGCCGCCAGCGCGCGACCTTGCCCGCCCCTGTCCCTGGGCACTCACCGCACAGTTTGTTTCCGATGCCGCCCGTGAACTTCTGAGCCACTTGGCACCAGGCTCGCGCTGCAAGGAAGGACAGGCAGGCGGACAGCGAGGCGGAAAGAGAACAGCAGACAGACGTGTGAAATTTCGTTCTGTGTGAACATCAATCAGTCCCGGGTCCGGGAAGGGGCTGCATTCCTCCTGGGGGCCACTCAGGACTCGGTGAGGCCGGCAGGTGCGGGAGGCAAGCGGGAGCCTGGCAGCCCGGGCCAGCCCTCATTTACTTGATCTGTTTCCCAAGGAGAAGCCCACACCGCTGCCCTTCCAGGTGCCAGTCGGCTCAGGCAAACTCCTCTCCCTGCCAAGCTTGGAGTTTTCCTAAATACTGAAGCTATCCATTTTTTCGCAGGCTGTCTTTCTAGACCAAGAAATCTCTCACCTTTCCCATATTTTTTTTTCTATCTTCACGGTCACTCTGTCCCTCCCCAGCGTCCAGACACCTGGATCTTAGCAGCGCCCCAGGCCCATGGATTTCCATGTCCCCGAGACACCGCGGTCTTTGCGGGGCTCTTCGAACCTTCTGTGGAAGGGGCCCGAGACTATTTGGGCGTCTTCCCAGGGGACAAGAGGCTGTAGAGGTCTTGAGCTCTTAGGCCGTCAAGGACTTAGCCCAAAAGCAGGGAGACGCGCCCGAAGAAGTTTCCTGTTGCGGGTGGAAAAACCTCCTTCGTCTTCTCCGTAGCCCCGCAAACCCCAGACCACCGCAAAACTCTCCCGCCGCAGGTCCCGGTTCTCTTTCCTACCTGTGCCGGGATTGTCGGAATCCCCGGAGCCATTTTCCGACCCGAAGGACCAAAAGCCAGAGCCCGGAGATGCCATCGGCTTTGGAGACTGGAGCAGGTCGCCTGCGAGTGCGAGCTGCGGGCGAGCTGCCTTGGGCTTGGCCCTGTGCGCGCGTGCGTGCCCGTGTGGCGGGAGGAGGGCACAGCCCGAACACCGGCGGGGCGGAGCGGCGAGGGCGGGTGTCACTCAGGAACAGAAAACGCGCGTGTCTGAGTGTGCGTGTGTGTATGAGAGCTGGAGACAGGGTTTAGGGACGTGGCAATGCTTTGGAAGCCGGGAAGCCTTAAAAGGGACGGGTACTACCTAAGGGTCCTCGGAGCCCGGACTCGGGAAAGCGCGGAGAGCCCCAGAGCATTTGAGGGAAAGGGAGTCCAGTGGGGATGAATGAGGGGGCGGCGGAGGAAAAAAACACGGGAGAGGGAGGGAGCTGAGTCGTGAGGATGCGAGGCAGACCGTGCACGCCAGCTGGAGTCAGAGTGAGGGGGTGGGAGGTGTGCCAGCGCGTCCTCTGGCGAGCCAGAGGCGGGAAGTGCGGGCGGCCGCTGTCCCGGGTGCTGCCACGGCCGGTGCGCGCCAGCGTCAGCGAGGGGCAGACTGGGGAGACCTCGGCGAGGCGGGGAAGCGTGGCCCAGAGGGGTTTTCTGTGTGCATCGATTGGGGTGTTGTTTGAGGTCTAGCTCCTGCTGAGGGGAAGGAAGCGGGGTTCCCCCGCCGCCCTCCTCCAAGCGGGTGCTGAGGTCGCTGCGACCTCGGGAGCTTGCGCCCCGGGCCGGCATCAGGCGCCGTTCACCAGCCTGGGGAGGGGACGGCGGGGGAAGGGCTCCTACCCGCTGATGGGCTCATTTCAGCGCCTTAGTAGAGCCTGACGCCTGCCTGCTGAAGCGCGCCGTCCCCGGGGGCGCACTGTTCCTGCGCAGCCAAGGGCTAGATCGCGGGACCCACCGTCCAGCCTCTGAGTGACGGCTGGGAAGAATGACTGCTGATTGAGGCAATTAAAATCCACGCTGGAGTCTAGAGGACCTCGGGCTGGGGGAAAAATAAAACGAATGGAAACTTCTTGAAAGGGAACGAGACAGAGCGGCCAGAGTGGGCAGGATTGATGGCGGGTGGGGGATGGAATCAGGGTATTTGGTGACCTTGGCCCGCGGAGGCGTGGAAGGGCCCGCGGCTGGCGTGGAAGGGGAATCTGTGTGTGCCTGGGAGGAGAGAACAAGGTTTCCAACTAAGCAATCTCGGCTTTCCAAATCTGAGTAGGAAAGAAGGCATCGCCTGAAGGGCCCTCATTTCAAGGGACTTCAAACCATTGTCCCCACTCGCCCCGAGAGAATCTTCGCGGCAGCGCCCGGGAGCGCGAGATTGGCTCTCTCTGAGGCGTATTAGTAAGAGTTTTCTCTTTTTCTAATAAGAAAGGACGAGAAAGTCAGAATCTTTTTCGATGATTTCCTTTCTACAAAAAGCTGTTACAGACAGGGAGGACGCCCTGAGGATTGGGAGCCCTTTGACGGTTTACGCTGCATTCTCCTGGCAGTGGAGATGAACTTCAAGTGCACCTCGCATCTCCGGGGCTCTGGGGGAGAGGGAGGGAGTGAGAGAAGGGAAAGGGCTGACTGAGGTCGGCTTCCCGAGGCGGCTGCCTTCCCCGCGCCTGGCCAGAGCGCCTGTCATTTCCATTGTGTTCACAAGCCGTTTTCTTTCTCTGACCTCCTGAACCAGCTACCAAAGCTGCTACCAAAACAGAGACCGGGGGATCCCGTCTGGGCGAGCACCTCTCGACCCTCGCTTAGAAGGGACATCCTGGGGCACATGTTGGACGCATACAGGCCCAAGTCCTCTATCCTGGAGCACAACTGTCCCTGGTCAATTCTCTCCACAAAGCGCTGTCTTCTGGCGCGCCTGAGTCCAGGGGTTCCCTGAGGAGTCATGGGATCCACACTATGGCAGCTGGGTCCAGTCACCAGGATGAGAGCAGGGAACCAGTGGGGCCCTGATAGAGTCCTGCCGAAGGCTGGCGCTGAGCGCGCTAGGTGGAGAAGTCCGGACCAGGCTGTGGGAACCTGGGTGGTCGAAAACTCAGGGCTCAATTTGGCTCCTCCTTTTCGCTCTCTTGGCTCTGACACTCCAGGTCACCACGATAACAACTCCGGAAACCTAAAGACTTGCGGTTCAGCCATCTGCACTTCAGGCATGGCAGCTCTGCAGCTCTCTCCAGCCTCGCAGAGGCTGGTTCTTTGTTGAAATCCATATCAAGTCCTGCAAAGGTTTTGCTTCAAGCCAGCAGTCTAGGGTTGCAGAACTTTCTACTATGGATGAGTGATTGAAAACATAAAGGTTCTTGAAAATAAGCGTTTAAAACACACAAAACCCCCAAAGAAGAAACAGATGAAAACACCCGAATTTAACTGATTTTTTTTTTCTTTTTGGTAAAGCAATGGCTTCAAGTGCTACCGTTTAAACTCCATTAAATCTCACAGCTCTGGAGTACTTTCGATCTAATGGTGGTATTTACATTTTTTATTTAAACGCACCCTACTTCAGATGCAGACGGGGATCTGATTTGTCTTTGCTGAAGGCTGTCCCTCCCTAGACGGTAATTTGCTTTGTAATGACTTTCATTTCACTAAAGAGCCCATTCCCCCTCTCCGGGACTTGGGCTTGGAGATAACAAAAGAGCTCTGGGAGGTAATAATTACAGTCATTAGTTCACAAAGGAGGCAGCCAGTGAACGGGAAGGGAAGGCGGCCAGTGCTGGGGGAAAGATTTGGAAAGCCCTTCCTCAGATGAGGGAGACAGACCCAATCCTCCGGCTTGTAGGGACAGTTTCCTTAGGTGTCTGTGGTTTACTAGGATGCATCTCAGGCTCACCCAAAGAAGAGTGTCTGGCACACATTTTCCTCTGTCCTTCCCATGCTTAAGTGTCAAAGGACAGAGAAAGAAGGGAAGATGGAAAGAAAAGGAGAGGAAACAAAGAACCACAGAAGAACACAAAAACACTGCAACCAAGCATTCACCAAGCCTTTGCCATTCTCTTCTCTATTCTCACTTAAAACATTGGTGCAGGGAAAATTCAGGGAGGGAGTCTGTTGCCTCCCTCCCTAAATTCTCCCTACACCAATAGAAGTAATAGAAGGGGCTGAGTGCCAGGGCTCTTGTCTGCAGGGGCCACCCCAGAAGGAAGCCTAGAAGGAAGCCAGACAGAAAAGCTGAGCTCAGCTTACTGCTCCTTACCCCTGGCCCCTGCTCCGCCCTCACCACAAACCCAGGCCTTCTGGAGGCAAGTGGACAGGTGGCTAGAGGTGGAAGGGGGCTAGGCCACTTTGGGTTTTAGACAGCCCTGCCCCTCCCAGCCCTTCTCTGGTGACCTGCTGTGCTGGTTTCCTGGGTACTGGCCATAAGGCTGCTCAGTGTATTCACACAGCTGAGGGTCACGCCTTACTTTTCAGTGGCAAACCCAGTGAGGCTGTGCTGCTAATCCAGGGAACAAGAAGGCCTGGAGTGCACTTGGACTCTGCCCTGCCATAGCTGCAGGTTTCCCCTTGGCCACATTGCAACTGTAAAATGAAGAGTTGTCTCTGGGGACCTTTTGGTGCCAACTCTTTGAGTTGGAGAGATGCCCTGTGGACCAGCGGTACAACAAACCTTCTGAGCCCCCTGCACGTGCCCTCACTCACTCCTTGAATATTTCCCCAGAATCTTGACTCCGGCCTGTGGGTGCAGGAGCCAAGGGCACCTACACACAAAAGCCCCATCCTGGTCAGAACCCTTCTGATTCCATGCAACAACCTCATCACCTGTCCTCACCCTCTCCAGGTTGCTTAGATGGGAATGTCAGTTTCATAAAACAGCTTAAACCAGGTTTTAGAATAAGGTGCAGTCAACCCAGTAATGCAAACTTCTGTCCACCCACTAGCCTCCCCCATTTTAAATACACACAGAGTGGGAGTAGCAAAGATGGCCCCAAATCTGCAGACTGGGAGAACCTGAAATCTGACAGTTCCACCCAGTGGCGGCACCAGCATCTTTATAGATGGGGCCAAAGACAGCCACACAGATTGGGAAGGCATCGTGCAGGCAAGCACGTGTGGTGTGTTGGGGATTTAGAGATTGGAGGCCTCTGCGTTTGTGTGGCAAGGGGTTTTAGCTTAGATTGTGTTTGTCTGAAGTGGCTGGGTGGTGCTGGGAGTTCGCTGATGAAGGCACCTCAACTCCCCTCCTTGGGCACCGTCACCAGCACAGCCTTATAGCAGAAGCCCCAGAGGGGAAAATGAGGGATCAGTCACGCAAACCACGGGTTTTCCAAGGCACTTCCTTTATTTAGCAACCTTAGTAACCAAAAGAAGAGAAAGAGCAAGTTTGAGATGAAGTACATCTTCGAAATTCTCCCCACCCCTCCCGGGCTTTTTTCTCTTAAGATTCAACCGCTAGCATGTGTTCTGTTGGCTAAGAAAAGCCGTTTCCAAGAAAAACATCTGTGAAGTCACCCCAAATGAGAGAGAGGTTGGCGAGATCCCAGACGCAGTGGAGGCCACAGGAGTTAAAAAAAAAAAAAAAAAAAAAAGAACAAAGAGATCGATTCAGGGATGCCGCAACTGGCGGGCTGGTGAGAAAGGAGGGTGCGGGAGTTCGGCCAGAAGGCGTCGGGGGAGGTTTTCCGAGGGCTCCCAGGTCTCTTCTTTCGGGGCACGGAAGGCCAGCCCGGGCACTTGAGGGCCGAGCGCAGCAGGCAGCCTCTGCGGAGATCAGGGCCGCAGCTTCAGTCCTGCTGGTGCCAGCCCGAGTGCCTGCTCGGCCTCTGCTGCCCTGCAGGCTCAAGCGCCTTCCGACGGCGGTGTCTGCCTCCTTGCGCGGTTAGGACTGCTGGACTAGGCGCCGGCGCTGGGAGGTTTTGCGCAGGAGCCTCCTGAAGTCGTAGGGGTTGGCTGCTGCCCCTCTCTCCTCCTCCTTCTTCTCCTCTTCCTTCTCCTCCTCGGGGCTCTCCGCCGCCCAGCACCTGCAAGCGAAACCCAGGGCCCGAGTGTCAACCGCACCACATTGAGCAGCGCGTCCCCACCTACCACGAGTTAGGCGGGTCCCCTTCCTCTCACGTTCCGCCAACCGCGGACGTTTAGGAAAGGCACAATTGAAATGACTGGATAATGGCCAAACGTATCTGCGATAATTCTCAGCAAGTTTTCAAAACTCCTCTAAGCTGAGGAGCAGAGAGGGGGTGGAGCCTGGTGATGGTGTTTAGATACGTGCTAAGTAAAGCTTCAGAAGGTGCAGTTTGGAAAGGTGAGTTTGGATTGCAATAATTCACAACCAAAAAACAAATATTTATTTTAATACCTTAATTTTAACACACTTTGGTCAAACAGAAAAACTCAAATTGCCTAAATAGACACTCAATATTTTCCATTTTAAAACTGCTCAGATGTTTCTTTAAAAAATGCTCGCTCAAAATCTGACCAACTGCTCTGGTAGTGGCACCAAGAGCTACGGACCCTGTCGGCTTTTTCAGTGTTTCAGTGTTTTGAATGAGGTTGCTGGGCTAAGTTTCTGAACCAGCA